ACAACAAGCTAGCTGGCTGGGGGAATACCAGTCTCTGTGGCTCAGTTCAGTTAACGGCTGTATGTTGCTTTATTTCTGATTTTTATTTTGTTTTTGCTGTCTGTTTGGTGTCCGTTTTTAGTCCAGTTCCAAATTGCCAACGTCGTCATCTCTGTCTCTGTCGTGGCTAGTCTTGCCTCTCGCTCTTGCTCTAATAAGAAGAAATAATCCAACTGAATCTGGGAAGACAAGTTTTTGAGAGCTTGCAGAGCTTTGAGCTTTAGTTCGCTTTGCCGCTCACTCCACTTAACTGGCGCGAGAGTCGCTTCTCGCTCATTCGTTCACTTCTCTCTGACAGTAGCTATGACTTGGTTACGATTTGAGCCTTCTAGCTATTTTTTATGTTGTTTTGTTTTAATCTGGTTTTATTTTATTTTTTCACTTTTGGGTGTTGTTGCTGATTAGCATTCACATCTACCTAGCTGCGCCTATGTTTGTATGTGTGTAAGCGGCAGAAGATATCGATGGGCCGATCGATCGGCCAGCATTACGAAACAACAACAAATTAAACAATAATAGTAGTTCGCTGTTTTTTATATTAATTTTATTTAAGTCTTGGCTTTCAAGACAGAAAATAAAACCACTTAATTGGGAAACAAACAAGTCTATAAGCTTCGAACCAGTTGTCAACGTAATTAGTCTGCATTGACGCAAATATAGTAAATACCTTTATTATCATTTGAAAAACATTTTGAGCCTTCAATTTATTCCGAATATACTCTTCGCAAAACTTATATTGCGAATATCAGCTGATGAATCTCATATATGATTACTGTCAATTTAGGTAACTGATAATAATATAAATATTCTTATAGGAAGAGATATAAAGAAAAACAGATTATTCTGATATATTAAATGTACAAAATAAATATTAAATATTTGCTGAATTTATGAGCATAGATATTGCAAAAAATATATATTTTTATGAACAGGTTTTTAAATTATTGTTAGCCGTTTTTAATGATTATAAAAACAACCACCTTCAAGCAATTAAAAAACTTAATATACGAAGCTTAGTTGAGTGCTCATCGTATTTCTCTCTTTTCTCGTTCCCGCTATCTCTCTCTCTATCTCTATCTGTGTCCCTCTCCCTCTCTTAAGCGACAAGCACAGTTGCTCATAAGTTTTCGGTACTTTTTTTAATTAATAAGATTAGAATGTCCATTGGAAGAACTTCTTATCTTATCAAAATAAATGAAAAACTTAGTTTTGTGCCCATTCACGGTCAATGTTTTTCACTTTGATTATTTGATTATTTTTGTAAAATTTGTTGTTTTAGCAGTAAGACAAGAGGGAGAAAGCTGGGAAAACGTATTTCCGTTGTCTTTGTAAAAAAAAAAACATTGCAAAAAATGCCAAATTATGCAATGTCTATCGCGTTGTTGCCTAAATCGGTCATTGAACGTTTGTTCGACAAGTTCGAGAACGAGCCATTTGTTTTTGTTTTTTTCTGGTGTTTTATTTTATTTTATTGCTCAGTGAGATTTTCCATATTGTGTGTTGGCCTGCGGGGGCAAATTCTCAGTCCGTTTGGGCCACAGTTCATTGTACGCCTTTGCTTTGTGTTTATATGTATGTGTTTTCGCTTCCTTTTTTCGAGAGCGTGCTATGAAGTTTGTTCTTTGATAGGGCTTATACGATAAAAGTAAACTGTCTTAATTACCTTGGCCTTGAGCTTTGTTTGCAGTCTTGAGTAAATACATATGTAGATTATTGTGGTCTATTTAAGACTAAATTTTTAGAATCCCAAGAAGTATATCTCGTAAATAAATGGGATTCACCTCGGGCTATAGTTTCGACTTTGATGTTTACTAAAAGAATTCATACATAAATAAAGGAAAATTTGCAAGCTCTTTACGGGGAATCACATTTATAGTGTTATGCCTTCTAGTTCGAATTATGATTCATATTTAATTATTAATATATGTACATATGTATGTAGTAATAATATATACACAACTTGGTTGTGAAAGCTTATCGACATTGAAATACCCTGTACATACCATAAAAATTGTGTAGTTACAAAGATGGCTTGATTATAGTTTTTTTATTTGAAACATATTTATAATAACGTGAGAGATTTAAAATTTTGAAAATTACACAGATAGAAAATAATAGCCGATTACAGAGTAACTACTAACAATCACGACTTGCAATCGTCATCATTGTGATATCTATGTTCGTCCATTTGTTACGTTTATATCATTTAGCGACGCTCTGAAGCAAGCTCTCTCATGAGTAGGCAACATAAACGCCTTTCTCAATATGAAAATAAATAAAATAATTGTGTGATACTTGCTCAGTGAGTCACATTTTCTTTATAATACTGTTGTTGCTATTTCTAGACTAAAAATAGCAAACGTTGAATAAACGAAATTCAAAATATTGCCATAATATATAGACATACAATATATATATAGACATACAATGTATTGATGCATGTATGCATGTGTGTGTGCGTGCGTCTGGTATGTTGCCTACTGCCGCATTTGTTGTTGCTATTGAAAATGCACCGTATACAAAGTGCTCATGTTGACAATTTGGGATTCCCGTGTGGCCAATTACCGATGCAGTGGCAGAGAGAGAGAAAGAGTAAGAGAGAACAACTAGAGAGTGAGAGTGAAGCGTCGCGTCGGCTGCTACTTATCTTTGTTGCGACAATTGATTATTCGTTTTACACCCAACATGCACACACACACACCCGCACACATGTTTAGACAACTTTATATGTATGTAGTTATGTCAAGCGTGATAGACTTGCACTTCACAGCGCGCCCTCTTTATATTGTGTAAAGGCATTTCATTTTTTGTCGCATTTCTACTCGATTTTTGAACATCTGTTCGCAGTTGGTCAGTCTTTGTTGCTGTGCGACATTTATAAAATGTGAGGTTTATATGGTTTGCACGTATTTGAGTACGTACGGTATTCCACTTATATTTGCATTTTGCTTGTGAATGTACATGTATGTGTGTGGATTGTCTTTCAGAGTTGCATGCGTTTTGTAAATGCGTTTGAGTGCGATTTGTTGTGGGTTTGTCTATTTATCGATTTAACTGAATTTCGATCGGCTTGGTGAAGGTGGCAACGCCGCCGGTGCAAAGATAGCCCCGAACATTGCTAGTCTTATTTTCGCTCTCCCTCTTTCTCTCTCGCGCATTTGACATTGTTATCAATGGCTTGTTGTTTTTGTTGTTGTCATAAACAAGCGTAACACAAAGCAAAAACTGTCTGCACAGCTGTCAGCTGCTTGGGTGTGTTTGTGTGTCTGTGCACTAGCATTTACGTACGTATTCCAGTTTTTTTTTATATTTTGTGAAACGTGTGAGATTTTTCCTACCGCCCTTTTTCTCGAGCATTCCGTTGCACACGTTCTCACGTTTTTCATAGGTTTCCTCCATATAAATATAATTCTTTTCGGTGGTTGTTGCTCCTGTTCTGCTGCATGAAGCCTGCGGCCAGCTGTTGGCTGCGTGAACTCGTCCTCATCACACAAACACAAAGGCACTCACAGACACACACACACACTAAGCTTAGGCACAGGCATTGCGTCTCCTCTGTTGGCTGTCTCGTGTCGTTGTCGTCACGCGCAGTGCATTGGCCTTTCCCTCGTCAGGCAGGGCTCTCAATGCTATTTAAGCGGCGTTCCTCCTCCGAACAACGTTTTAACAAATGGCCGCCGACAACGTCGTCGCCCGCTTCAAACTTGAAATTGTATTATTATTACTGTTGTTGTTTCTTCATTTTAAGTTTTGTGGGTTTTTTATTCGGCTAATTTGTTTAACGTTGACTGCAAATTTGTTGTTATTGGAACTGAGGAATACACATACACACATATACACATACAGGCACTGACACTGACGCAGACGCCGTCAAGCCAGGGGCAAAATTATTATATTGTTGTTTGTTTTTAAATGAACTTCAAAATGTTGCCTTGGCTCAAAACTTTTATTAGTGAGTCTGCCTGTTCTGCTTTTATGGGTTTCAACAAATTTTGCGGATTGGCTGGCTGGTCGGCCATTAAATTCATCCTGTTTGACTCAACTAATACAAACATACCCAAAAACACACACACATTTTCCAGTGATCAAGAAGACGATATAAGCAGAACAGAGACAGACATAGTTTACCTGAATTTTATAGTTTTGTTTTGCTGACACTTGGACAGCTGCAATGAACCTGACTGCCAGATTTGCTTCCTGACTGACTGACTTAATATAAAAGGTCCTCAAGAGAACATCAGGTGTGCTCTCAGTCTATAGTATATACAGTGAATGTTTTTCACAGCGTAATATAATACATATTTCCATGCATAAGTGTATGTATGTATGTATGTATATTTCTAAGTGTGGTATAGCTAAAATTCCTAGCACAAAACAAATATGAGATAAGCCCACCACATGGGCTAACTAAAAACAAAAATAAGGCACAACGACAGACACGAACCAACAAGCACACGACTAAATTACTGACAGGAACATACATAGGCACATAATACATGTACATTCAGTCATACACAAGCGCATCGGCTAAGATCTCTGCCTACGGTAAATCTACCTGAAAGCGGAAAATTTTCGTATGCAAAAATGTCAAAAGTGAACAAAAATTAGCAGCACGCTGAAAAATGACAATCGGGTGTCCGAACCGTGTGCTCTTTTGCTTGCTCTGTGCATCTGAGAGAGAGAGAGAGAGAGAGAGAGAGAGAGAAAGACGCGCGAGAGAGTTGCTTAAGAGAGGTTTTTGTCACGTAACGGTGTGCAACGTAAACATAAAACAGCTGTGCTGTACGTAACTAAAACGTATGATCGCGTGCGCGTAACATACACAAATACAAGTGAAAAAAATGCTGACAAACATAATTCGATAACTATTACTGACGGAAGGAAGCGAAAACCCACCTGAGTTTTTTAAAAATTAGACCAGTGACAATTGTGAATATAATTTATTTTCCTTAAAAATGTAGAGTGAAACTTAAAGCAAACGCATAATTTTAATTAAAAGCAACAAATTAGAAATTGAGAAAAGCACAACTTCAAAAACAACTAAACAACTACTCAACAACAACTAATTATCAAGCTGCAGCAACAACAATAACAACAAAGTATGTAAAAACACGTGTACGCATAAAAGAGATTTTCACTTCAACTGGTAACTATTTTTATAGAACCACCATCGAGCTGTATCAACAATATTTACTACTATAAATCCATCGTCCAATTGAAAAGCTATAAATTAAAGAGGAATAAACCACATACTTGCCTATCGATTGCCCGTCAAAGCGATATATACGCACAGTTTTCAACACTGTTCGGCTGAACAGCGAGAGCACAGCTGATTGTGCCTGCCTGTCTGGCCGTTGTGTTTTTGGTTGTGCGCGGGGCGGCAGTGAAAACTTTTCTGCGCTCGTAGTGGCCGAGAAGTAACAGTCCAAAAAGAATAAGAACAAAAACATCAACAACAACAACGGAATTAAGAACTACACTCTGTGTGACGTGGTAGAAGCAAGGCAACAATACACATACACACAACTACAGGGCGCAGGTGTCAGTTCAGAACAGCTGTTTCAACACATCTACCGATAAGCCACAGAAATCTACAAAGCACTATTGACTTTTTAATGTAAATACCATACATGAAAGCATACCTACCTATATTGTAAGTACCTGAGTAGTTGCGACTTGTGCTTTATTTCAATTTGTTTAAATATTTTGTTTCTATATTGTTGTGACGCGTGCCCCTATGTACGGCTGTAGCTTTTCCAACAGTGGGTGAGATAAATGCACACACGTATACGCTCAACCGTAACAACAGCAACAGCAACAACAAGAACCAAGTAAGCTAAAGTTTTTAAGTTTTTGCTCAGACGTGCAACGCAAGCCGCAAGCTTTTAAGATAGACATACCCACACAAACACAAGTATTTTTAAAAAGAAAAAAAAGAAAAAAAAA